TGTGGGGTGTGGGTGTGGGTGTGGGTGGGTGTGGGTGTGGGGTGTGGGTGTGGATGTGGGTGTGGGTGGGTGTGGCTGTGGATGAGGTGAAGAGACCCTTACCCACACCCACACCCCACCCCACCCCACCCATCCCACACCTCACACCTCACACACACCCACCCCCACCCCCACACCCACACTCACACCCACACCTCACCTACACCCACACACACCCTCACTTAGAGTGTTGAAATTTAATGTTATGGCGAGAACGAGAGACGGCGAAAAATATTTATTTCACATATGTGTAGGCTACTCTTTAAAACAACTTAATGTTACAGAATTTAATTGATATTCTGGAGGGCATGTACCAATTTCATATCCTCCGCATTTAACAGCCAAGTTGCCAGAACCTTTCCAACCACATATTGTACCAGCAACATCATTTACATCAGAGAAATATTTTACACATGAACGCCCAGACGATGGATATTGTGGCTTTATGTATCCATCAGGACAATTCCAAACAGGATCCAATTCTCCACATTTATAGCTAGGAGAACCACCACATAAAGTACCTGCTTTACCTTTTTGTTTGTTTGTTTCATTTTTATAACATAAACCATAGTAAAAATATGGATCTGCAAAGTGCGCATAACCGTTAGGGCATGATGTGAACGGATCGTGTCCATCACATTTTATAATAAAACTACCCTCTCCCGTCTGACTAATTCCACAAATCGTACCACTTAACACATTGTCATTATCAGCAGTAATCGATGTTATTTGATTAATTATTGTAATAAGAAACAGAATCCACAAGATAGTATCAGGCATATTTAAGAATAAAACCGTAAAGAAAAACTGATGCAATAAGAATACACGACACCATGAGGTTATTTTCTCACAATACCTAAGAAAACAGTAAAAGACAAGATAAATAAAACCTCCTCTCGTCATTGCTTTCTTGGCCAAGAGACAAAGTTTACGCTCCTCAGTGAGAATAATTTAATACGATGCCGCCTACAGCACAAATACGAAACCTAACTTCAGGTATAAATGTTGGTCTTCATGTGGATGTGTGTGGTTGCGGGTGCCAGATAGACTTCAGTGAACACTCACATCTACACCCTTCAAATAGAATGCAAAGCAGGTATTAGAATTTAAATATTATAAAAGAAAAATTCAGTTCAAGTGAAAATTGCTAGATGTACAATTATTTCTAGATTCTCGCCTCTTAGATTTTCAAGAAAATGGCTGCATTTTAGTATTTTGAATATAGCAGTTGAAAACTATATGTATGTCAGAGCCTTTGTCGCTTAATTGATTATGCCTATTTTATATTGAGGGTATGGGTGTTCACAAAAACACAAAATTATACCAGCACTCCCTCATACTACACACTCACCGGGTGTGGGTATGGGTGTGGATGGGTGTGGATGTGGGTGCTGGTGTGGATGTGGATGTGAGTGTGGTGTGAGGTGTCACTATTTGTTCTGATGTGATGGTAGATTAGAAGAACACCCACACCCACACCCACACCCACACCCACACCCACATCCACACACCCACACCCACACCCACACCCACACCCACATCCACACCCACATCCACACACCCACACCTACAACTGCACCCGCACCCTAGTAGAAAACCTATCCATGGAATCAATTCAGAAGAAACATGAAGTTGTGCCATCATTATCAAGTGAATCGATGCTGTTATGTTTGTTCAGACAATTCAAACAACATGGACTCACTGATCTATATATCGATGGTGTGAGTGTGAGTGGGCATGGGTCGGGTCTGGGAGTGTGAATGTTGCTCTGGGACTGAGTGTGTATGTATGTCCTTCCCTCCTCTTATCCCTGATATCTATACTCAAGACACCCACAGCCATCACACCCATAGCCACACCCACAGCCACACCCACCCACATCCACTTCACTCACACCTACATCCACCCATTGTATGTTTCTTTTCTACGCTTCTTATTGTTTATTTGCTTGCTTAATATTATTAATATGAACGAGATATGATTATCTAATGGAAGAATGTTAAATTAGGATTTTAGTTTTTCTTCTTCAGGACAATCCTGTTGGCGATTTGGATGTGCAGCTTTGAATTCAAGAAGTTCATTTAATCTTTCTTCAATAGCTGTCATAATAGGATATGCAGTTAAATCAACTTTAAATCTAGATAGCCAAAAAAAGAAATGAATAGGTAAAATGATTATATCAATATAAATTCATACAGCCGTGCAAAATAGAGTTCAGGTACCAGACAACAGTCAGCTATTGATATTTGATCGCCAACACAATATTGTCCTGCTGATTCTTCAAGAGCCTTTTCTACCGCTAAATAAAAATTGAAATTAAACCGAAAATTTTATTTAAATATGAATTGATTTACCATCAACACCTAGTTTAACATAATGACATGTCCATTCAGCGTTTTTCTCTTCGCCAATACGTTTGAGAACGCTTGTGCTGTGGAACGGCTTCAGATTGGAATGAAAAACAATAAATAGGCATAATGAATAAGAGAAATTCAAAAAAACAAGCGATACCTGAGTACCAGATGCAATGATTTCACTAATTAAACGAGCCTAAATATAATTTAATGGAAAATCTATTACTATTCCTATCTTCTTATGTCATTCTGTATAACCTGATAACGTTGATAAGAATCTTCTGGTAAAAGTTGAGATTGAACTCGATATGTTTCATCAATATATTCAATGATAGGAATCTAAATGAGAATACTCGCATAGACATACTATTATAGTTTCATTTAGCTTGGCATACAGATTGAAGAAATTTTTTTCCATCAATAATAAGCACCTAAACGTAAAAGATTTAGATTAATTTATAGAATATTTCAAAAGAATTTTCTCCTTCGAAATAAGTTCTGAAACAAGTTATTTTATTTACTTACAGGAATTTCACATTTTGGATTGAGTTTTTTGTGTTCCTCGCTTAACTAAAAAGAATCAATTTAATACTGCAGAGTACGTAATATCAATCAATTAATAATAACCTACTGTTTCGCCTCTGAGAGTATTAACCGAGTGACTTATATAGGGAATATTTTTCAAATTTAATGCTAATGGAAAACAAAGTATAAATAATCTATGCGTCCTTTTCTTGAAATAGACTCACCAATTCGAACTCGATATGAACAGGAACTGCGATAATAGGTGTACAAAATTGGCTAGTAGAACAAAAAAATGGAGTTTATTTTTTAAAAATGTAATTATTCTCTTACCGTAGTATCGAAACTCGCCATACTTGTTAAATCTAGAGTAAAATACTAGAAGAATAAAAACGCTTCCTTTTCCCTCTTATTCAGGTTTTATTTTCAACGTTTCTATGTCATTTTTATTTCATGATAATAAAGGCACGCACATGTTCGAGAGAACGATACACTAAACTCACCATGCGGATAGTAGAAATACTTTGAATATATATGATAATGTATCTGAGAAAGGCCTCGCTATTCCGATATTAGGTGTGAGTGTGAGCTGTTTCTCTTTCTCCTTATCTTGTCTAACGTCTTCTTTTCTTAGCAGCGAAGAAAGAAAAAAGCACCCAAGGTTTAATAGAGAACGAAAAAGAATCTACCAAACGATTTATCTCAGACTCCATTCACGTGTAATTCCTTCTCACTTGCTATGCATGGCGATACGGGAAAAGCTTACCTTGTGATATTTTCCTGACCAAAGAGCTAATCAAGATGATGGCCATGTGAATTCAGCTGAAAATTTGTTATTATGTGTCTCCTCACGCGCCATCGGCACGATCTAGAACCGTTTTGATCAATATCTAGCCTATGTGTCAGACTTGATCGTTAACGTTTAGCCAAAACAAGTAAAACGCGATCTCATATCGATTTTTGGACCATGACGTCCACTTTTCCATATCCTTTCTGAGTGCCATTGGATAGAGATCAAAAAGTTGCTTGTACTGGCCAAATTTGGCTCTGTATAAAGTTAGGCTTCAGGGGGAAATCGAATGAAACTGAGCAAGATTAACGCAAAGGGTGGGTCTGGAGTGTGGGTGGGGTGGGTGTGTGGATGTGGGTGTGGGGGGAAGGCTGTAGATGCCATGGACAAGAGGAGCGAAGCACATAGATACACGCCAAGTTCCAGAGCTACGTTCAAACTCCCAGATCCGCACTCACAACCGCATCCATACCCATACACACGCCCGCATCACACGCCCACACCCACACCTACACTCACACCCTGGCCGCGTCGGTGCAATGTATGAAAAAAGAGGAGAATATTTGAAGGCAACTCAAAATTATCAACGTGCTGTTAATATTGTCAAACAATCCTTGCCTTCCAATCATCCACAGCTGAAATTATATAGGCAGGTCCTTCAGAATGTAAAAAAGAAGCTCTAAAGAATGAGAACCTATGATAGCACAACCATACTTTTCAACTCTTTGCATTAGGTGGGTGTGGGCGGTGTGGATGTCAGCGCAAGTTTGGGGATGGATTTTGGTGTGGCTATGAGCGTGCGTGATAAGACAACCTACACCCACATCTACATCCCTCCCCTGCATTCACACCAATCCTCTCCACACCTCGCACCCTCCTACACCCTACACTAATTCACACTGACACCCTACACTAACTCACCCTGGCACCCCACACCCATATCAACGCCAACACTCACCTACACAGGCACAGCCACACCCTCCTATTCCATTTTTCCTACTCATTGAGCCGCATATTTTTCATTATACAGACTGGTTGTTCCAACCAACCTCGGAAGTCTTTTCGTATAAATCAATACAAGAAGAGTATGATTCTCTAATGCTTTCCTTCACTTTTACTTCACACGCGAGACATTATTTCTCATCTATTTTTACCTTTTGTGCAACCTACATACCCACGTGCTTCTGATTTGCGACGTTGTTTTTTTTTCTACGATTCCTGCAAGGTATTTTTTAAAACAAGCCCAAAAAGAGCATTATTCTCCGATACTTCACTTTATTTTTCTTCCAGACGTGACACATCATGAGCTCGGCGTCTCGTTTTACTGATATCGAACTCACGAAACGCAATCTTCCGCCAATTTTAGGCTATCTTGACGGCCCTCTTCTTCCTCTGGATATGGCATTAGAGCCCATTTTGCCGCTCATTGCCAATCTTGAAAATTATATTCGATTAGCAAAACAACACTGTAATCAATCGTCAACCGTTCTCAGTCAGGATGAATCGGCTTCGATTTATCTCTATACTATGGAATGGGGCGAGAGCAGCTTCTATCGAGTTTTAAATAAAGCTCTACGTTCTGAAAATCGGCCGGCTTTGAAGCCGTGGTTCTCGTACCTGAAATTGTTCAATGCAGCTCTAGAAAAATTGCCTAGTCTCAAAATAAATTTGTGGCGTGGTGTATACGCTGATGTTAGCAGTGGTTTCAAGAAAGATGATCAATTCACGTGGTGGTCCGTCAATTCATGTTCGTCTTCAGTGGATGTAATCAAGAATTTTCTCGGTCCACATAGCACTCTGTTTCTGATTGAGGCAATCAACGGAAAGGATGTGCGCGACTATACGTGTTTCTCTAATGAAAATGAAGTCTTGCTTGCGCATGGCACACGCTTGCATGTGGTCAGCAACGTACTCGACCATCCAGGCGGCTTGCATGTTGTACACCTCCGTGAATGCGAAAGCGATAGTGAGTTCAAATTTCAAAATGGCTTAAATAATGTTAGTTCTGAAACAGCGCATCCTTAAATACGGTTTCACCCTGTGCACTATCATGAGTTACTGAACATACGCATTGCTTGAAGGTCACCAAAGAATATGTCAAGACAATCCCTGCGAGAGTCAAATGAAAAATTCTTTAAAAAAGCTTTTGCTATAAACAACAGCAGTATAGCTATACTTGTTACCATCTGTGGAGACGAGAAAGATATTACTTTAGACTGCGATGAGATGAGATGAAAATGTCAGCATGTCCTTCATCGTCCATATGCTAATAAGATGATCAAACTTTCTCGTTACACGCTCGGATACCCATTAATAATCGGATGCCCTTTCTGAAACGTGAAAAGATAAATGGAGGCTAGCATTACACATCCATAAGTCCTGTGAAAGTGCCTATGTTATCGCATACCAAAACAGAATTAGAGAATTAAGGTTATCCTCTGCCATTTTCCATTAAATCATATTTTGTGTTGGTCGTGTGAAGTAATATTCCTAAGTATCTCATATAGTGTAATACCTTGATCGATCTAAATTAACCTACTGCGAATAGGACATGACTTTTACCACTCTCTTCTCGTAGAAATTATCATAAAATCTGTTTTTTTGTTTTTGATAGTGCAAACATGATTTTTCACAATGTTCCCTGCTTATGATCAGTTGTAAATTTATTCGATGAAGCTAAAACTTTGACCACATATTTTTGGAAATAAGTTCTACAGGTATATTTGTTCGCCTTCTTTTGTGACTTAACGTTTTACTGCTATCAGCTTTTGAATATTATGACTACCCTCGTCAGTTAAAACATTGTAGGCTTCTTCGGGCCACTGAAGTCTATCATTCTGAGGCTCAGCAAAGTGTACTAAACAGCAATGCACAATTAAAAGATAAAATATTTACTGCAATGAATTTCGCCATAATCCGTCATCCCGTGCGATGCGCTGTTATTACCCTAGACAGCAGTCATCGTTTCTCTTACTATTTTCATTAGTCTACAAGATGATAGATAATAGGAATGTAATAGCATCGAATTTCCATATTTTATATCACTTGTGACAACTCAAAGCACTGTTTTATTAGAACTGGTTAGAAGACAAGTAAGGGCATCTTTCAGACGTTCTCATATGATACTCCTAAGGTCTTTTATTACTTGTGACTAAAACCAATTTACATGCATACTGAAGGATATTTGGTAAACACCATGATAGGGCTCAATGAAGTTTAAAATGTTTGTTATCTTTGAATGAGACAAGAAAGTTAGCTTAAAAAATATTTTTGACTGGTATTTACGTGTGGATTTACGTGCTATCAATGAAACCTTCCTATAGATATAGATACAATAGGGTATCTACCTAGGCATGCGTGTACTGCATATATCAATAAATGGATATAGATATTGTGAATTCTAGATTTGACCTACCACTCTGAACTCAATAAGTAGCTGTCAAATATATCCGATATTTCGTTATTCACGAAGAAAATCAAAGCATAGATTGCAATAAATTTCAATTTTCAAAACTTCGCTCGCTTACTGATTTTAAGCAACGACATGCATATGGTGCATGACGTTCATCCTCAATATTTGATCAATGAATTAGGTTAAAACAGACTTTTTAAAATGCTTTTTTTCAAGTGATCCCTCGCAACACCACGGGTCACAACCTAACCGAATGTGTTGTGGTACCCTGTGCCACTATATTGTCATGATATCAGGGTATTCCAAGTCACCACCATTGAATTCATGATTGTGTCCGTGTTTTGTAATAGTCTCACTAGAAACTGAGAGCAGCTACAACCAAGAGGAGTATCCGGAATTCGTCGAAAAACCTTTACGTCTGTGAAAATAAACTATTCTTAGATTAGTTTTTCAATCAAGATCATCCAAATATCGAACATTAGTGGAAATGGATACTTTTGTTACAATCGTCAGAAAACTCATTTTCAGGATTATTTCACCATACATGGATCCTACAAGGTGCGTTCAAAAAGTTCCTGAACTGATTTTATTTAAAAACAATAAGAAGCGCTGCTGTATTTGCATTATTGCCTGTGTGTAGTTCATACAGTCCTCTATCTATAGACATCATAAGCTCAGTTGAATTAAACATATATATGAAAATATAGAAATACATTTTAGACCACTGTATATACACGGACGGAAAATCAAAAATTTTGAGCGTCGATCAGTGAGAAAATTTCTTGTTCTAGAAAGCCATGTCTCATTTAATATTTATGAAGGCATAGTGATAGTATATTATGATCGATTCTCTATCACTCACTGCAGCTTCAGAACGGGATCATTGTTGTAAAGATGGATTATCATGCATTGATAATAATCTATATGTCAATAACATGACTATTAAAAATTTTTAGAAGACTGATAGTGTAACAAAAGTTGAATTGCACCTGGATAAATACCAGACACTGTTCACATTTTAAATTTACAGCGCATAGTATTTTATGTGAACAATTATATACGACTAAAGTCAGTTTACGAAAATACCACATACTCTAACATGATGTCACTCAGTGAAAAAATATCAGATTATGGAAGCTTTCAGTAGATTAT